TTATCCTTACATTCTATAAACCAGTAACTTTGTGTGTCGGTTTGTATGTATGTATGTATGTATGTATGTTTGTCTGTCCGTCCGCAAAATACTTCACGGGTTCGAGTTCGCTGGAGGCGAAAACGACCGCTAGGCAAACCGGTAACCGACTGGGAGGATGTAGCAATCCAATGTTTTGATTGTGATAACGCCTCCGCTATATAAGACAACCATTCGGTACACTCCGAGCCATTGCACGAGCTGCTGGCGTGGCAGCTGGACGTGTGCTCGTGCGGGGGCAGGGTGGGGTGGGGCCGAGAGGGGGGGGGCACTGGGCGCCCCCCCCCCTCTGCTTCCTTCCCCTGCGCGTGCTCAGCCCGATCTGAGCATGCGCAAGAGAAGGAAGCAGAGGGACGGTCCGACTGGAACACTGGGGCGTTTTTTCAAGGTATGATATAGGTTATGGCACAGGAATATGTGGGTGACAAGAACTGCTAGCCGCTGATAAAATTTATGATTTATTATCGGCAAACTAATTACAATGGTCGAGATAAATAACAGTGTATGAGGAAAAAAAAACTCCGATAAGGTGAAAAAACACTCATGCCCAATTAACTTCATTTGCAACAGTACGCCCTCATCAGCACAGCTGCTTCTCCGATAAGAACTCTACGACCATGAAAGTGACGATTTTCATGCTTTTTTGTCCTGCAGCTTCTTTTTTCATTAAAAGGCGGCCTCGAAGGCGGAGTCTAGAGGCGGAGTCACTGAAGAAGAGGAGCGTCACTGAACCTGTATTGCACTATAGCGCCCCTCCCTTACAGTTTTCGGCGGCAAAACCAGGACAAGGTTGTTCGTCGCAGCCATAGCTCCCTCTACGTCATTTTCTCAAATTGTATACCTGATCGGGGACCGTGCCTTCAAAGCTGGAAACGAGGGAATTTTTGCTCCTCAGTAGCTTTTCCTTACATATTCTTTGGGTCCATTATTTCAAAAATTCGACCCTCGGCGGAAAATCGCGAAGGTATGCTGAGTGCCAATTACCAGCGAGTTCTCACACTTGTCGTGGCCATAATTTCATTGTGACAACTGTGGGTCATCTCGTCGTCTCCTCGACCTGCACTAATTGCCATTATACATTTACGACCCTTTCCACCTTCCAGTGACTCAATGCGACTGTCACCATCGTGCGCTCTGCGGCCATAAGTGACCCTAACTCCTAGTCTCCACGTAGCTCTGGACCACTACCTAAGGAGGTGTTTTATGGTCACAGCTCTGCTCTTCTAGAGAAACTACTGCTCACATCACCAGTGTTGCACTGAATGGTGCCAACTTACCTTCATGAGTTTTTTCTTCATTTCGTTCTGGCATTCGGCACATTCTTTTGTTTGACAAGCTTCTTTTTCCTAGACTGGCAATCAAATGATTAAACAATCGAATTGGGGAATGACCGCAAGTAATTATTGCCGAGCAGCATGAACGAGGACCACGTACTTTTAAAGTGGCAATCTGTCCCGGTTCCTCTTGATCAATTGTTAGATCTGGGAACGATATCATCGCTTCCTGGAGAGTGGCGGCTTGGAATCGCGAGTCGTACGGCAGACATGGCTGTGACGTTCCCGGTGGCGGCGTTACGCATTGGCACTGTAATTTAAGGAAATAAGCAACGAAAACTTCAGTAGGATACTATGTCTATGGCAGCACTAGTAAGAGTATTGGGGCCTGTCCTCTTCGTATAAGCGCTGATCGATTCTCCAAATGCTGGGTTACCCACGCACATTGGCAGGGGGAGCTGAAACGAAGGGAAACCTTTGAATAGCTGTCATTCTCACGGCCTTGGCTTCATTCCACACTTGGATGAATGCTTTTCTAGTAGGTACTCTTAGTACTGAGTAAGTACTATTAGTCGAAAATTCTACCGTCCCTATCACGCGTTTTCGATCCGAAAAAGTGGCAGGTGCTCTGTGCTGACGGTGTACTCTATTCCAGGAAAGCTTCTACACATCAGGTGATCATTGATGTATCTTCAAAGACATACTATGAGTGGTGATTGAAAGAGTTTATGGGTGCTAAGTGGTGAACCGTCAGAAAAAGAAGCGGAACACTTCGTCGAAAAACAGGACCCCCCCCCCTCTTTGCACGCGATTTTTGGGCACTGGATGAGTATGCGAAGAAGCGAGAGACGAGTATTTGTTACTGACCCAGTTCCCTGTTGGTTTTCTTTTTTGTGCGCACCAAGAGTGCATCGAATGAAATGAATAGATACTGGGGGCACGGATAAGGTAGCGAACAAACGATGGGCGTGAGAGTACAGCGTCGCTCAGATCATGGAGGTGTGTATGAGTAGAACCTGGCACTATTCGGCTGGAACAAAGATTTTTTTTAGCTCCCTAATTTTCCGACCACTTCCTTTTACTCACATGCGCTACCTTGCTGACACCTTAGACTCTTGTCAAGGGTGACTAGAGCTCGTGCCGTTGCATAACTTTAAAGGAGTTCACAGTTTCAGGCTTCGGCTATGATCAAGGAATAATCGAAATGCTCTCAGTAAGCCGTCGCCTATCACCAGCAATGCCCCGAGTCACAAATCCTTGGCGTCCGTACCACGCACTTTCGAGTGGCTGAGTGGTACACTCTGTGCGGCTGCGGATTTGTTCATCGCAGGCGCAGAAGAGATTCTGTCAGGTAATCGTTGGTGAAATGAGAAGCACTAATGTGCTGAGCTCGCGCACATCCTGAAAAATAGTGCGCTTGACCTATGAAAATACTTCCGCTCCACTCAGTAATTGGGGTGAATCAGTGAAACAACGCAAATGACGGACATCACTAATTCCAGACTCACACAAAACGTTCACATGACATTCACGTTCTTCCAAGTGATCTCTTATCGTCCCCTTCCCCTTGAACAAACAACAAAACACGAGACTCTTACAGACACCCCGACGGGTTTTGATTTCTCGGCAAACAAAGTGTAGGTTGCCACGAGCAACTGCACTGCAAAACCCTGTGATGTTGTGGCATGATACGGAATTGTTGAATTATAATAGCGCGATTAGCTCAGTAAGCTTTTCCTATGACATTGTCAAACAAGGCCTCCTGACGTCTTATGGAGAGATCTACAGTTGGAGATGGTCTGGCCATCACCCAAGAGCAATGCCCCGTTCTTGATTTGCGAATTTCGTCAAACTTAACGAGGGGATTTGAGGATGAAGTGATGACCCGCTTTTAGCATTTGCAAAAACACTGATGAGAAAAGATACATGGAGGCTCTAATGCTCTAATGTCCGTAGGAGGATCCCCAAATAAGTCCATCCAGTGAGCTTTCACTCAAGACCTTCCATTCACTGCTTCTGTTCACCTGATATCTAAAGCATGATATATGGGGTCGTCCATATATTGACCCCGATCCGCCAGAAAAACAGGATTCTGACCTCAAGAGGATCCTGCTGAAATTGCCTATAATGAGCCTGTCCTTTTCAATGTAGTGAGCTGATCGGCTTCCCAATGATGGGTTGCCCACACTCAGAGAGGTTGGCTCTTCAATGCTCTCTTCTGGACAGGGGTGTGTACATAGTGCACAACAAGTGCCGATAATCAGCAATGCTAACAAATTCTTAACGGGTTAGTCTCATCTCAGCTCACCCCATCTTAGTTCCTACACACACCTTCCAGAACTAAAAAGCGCATAAATAAAACAGCAAGTGCTGAGACGTAACGACTGTTGGCTTTAGGGACCGTACTCGTGTAGAAAATTGGAAAATGCCAGCGACGGTTTTAGAGCAGAGCTAACTCGCTCCCATCGGTCAAAATGAACTGTAGCATGAGAAATGAAATTTGGGAAGGCGTTGGGATCGAGGCGGAAAAAATTCTACATACAAGTACCAGAACCTCCTCACATGAACTTAAAAAAAATTAGAAATCACCTGCGGTTGTGATTCCTGACATTTGGCCCAATCAATAATGACGACCAGTAGAATAAAAGAGCGCATAGTGATTGTTACCTCGGGAGGAGCACGCCCCGCACTGAGGTTTAATTCAAACCGGTAACCGGTTGTTGCGGCACTTTGGTCTTCGGGGGAAAATCCCTCGTTAAGCTGCTCTCTTCCTGGTTAATCGATTACATTGATACTCGCGCCAGATTATAATCGAAATGGTCCTCTTAGGCTCTAATTAGCCTATTCTGAATTGCCCTTCTTCATTAATGACGCCACTCAATGGTTTTGTGTAGGCAGTTAGTTTCTCTGCATTTTTTTTTGCCTATTGGCCCAGGTTCATAGTTCACGACTAGTAATACATGTCATAATTAGCCCTGTGATGATTCAAAGGCGAATGTTTTCCTAGCTCGCACCTATGGCTCAGTAGTGTAACACCCTTTCGGGAAGGATTACAGGTAATCTTTGGCAATGACCTTCCCCCTTGAAGACTTGGAGATACCGTACATCTGTCGAAACTAAATTCCCAGAATTACTTACCAAATTATCATCGGATGAACAACCACCATGTTCACTTCGAATATTTTTGAAATATGTATATGTCAGTTCAGGGAGGACTCCTCATCACCAGCACAACAAATCTCCAATTCTTCAATATTTATGAGATAAATCTGCAAGAAATTTGCAAGTAGTTTGGCAACACGTCACCCTTCTGGAAGCAGCGCTCAGAGGCTCGAGACAATGACCATGCAGTTACATTACAACTAGTAAACAATAAATAAATAACACTGAAAAGATAGACATATCACGAAACTCACAACACCGGGCAGTACCATGGAATGATTCTAACTCGTACTAGTGATTAATTAGTACTTACAAAATCTACAAAGAAATCATTAAGAACGTCAAACACGAGAAATACAATAAATTAGGAATAAACGAGTAATTTCACACACACACATCATGAGCAGAGGGATTTGTCTCGACTAGAATGAAACATCAGTTCATATCGATACAAAAAATATCCACATCACTACCTGATAATCCTCACTGGGAAGGAGGAAAGGAGAATCTAAAGACACACTAGAACTGTACATGGGCATCGACTAGAGAAAACCAGTCAGTAGCACCTAATCTGTGGAATATTTGCAGTCCCGGTGGGCCTTCTGGGGGTGGGCAATACAATGGCTTCTTAAACAGTTCTCTAGAGCTTGTAAGTTTCTCTTCAACTAGTACTAAAAATGATCAAGCGTTTCTGTTTGTGATAAAATTGAGTTGAGTTCAACTAAAAAGTCGAAAGACTCAAAACCCCTAGCACTTCAAGTAAAGCTGGCAACTTCTTACCCATGACTCCCCAAAATTGAGTTTCATTTCAGAGATGGGTAACTGGGTAATTACATCTCCCCCCCCCCCAAAAAAAAAATATAAAAAATAAATAAAATCCCGAATGTCGGCCGGTTGGCAATCTGGATGAGGAAATTGAAAACTGACCGTACTCAATGCAATGCCTGCCATTAATCTCAAGAAATGAACTATGTGAAGCGTTATAACTTATTAATAATGCTTAAAATAGCCTCTAGATATGCGCATATGATGAAAGGCGGTGTTACAGAAGTCCTGACAACTCCATTGCTTCCAATCCTTTCACTGCATCGGCATCACCCTATGATAACATCAAGGACACTATTCTGGAATGACGGATGAGTGGAGCTAGGGAACGACGTTTTGCTCCCCCTCCTTCCAGCCTTCTTGAACGCCATTGAAAACGCCGAGAGGATCGGCTAATGACACCGCTTCTTAGCTCCACCAACCCATCAAACCCGATAGGTGTCCTTAATCCTCTTATTAGCAGCGGACTCCTCCTCCCACCATCGCAGCTTCCCAGGCCTAATGATAGGCTTGCAAGAATATGTTCACCAGCGGCGTACGCTAGAGTTTCGCAAGGGACGTAGGCGAAAGTCGCGTTTTCGTCCCACAGAATTTACATTGACACGCTAACCACTACGTGCTTCAGGAAGGTCTAACCCGTTACTCTTTGGTTGATAGCTCAAGCCCCTCTATCTTAGCTCCAGTTTCGACCGGCTCAAAAGAGAAAAACTCAGGTGCAACAAGAAAGAATCACAGTTCATCGATCAGAGCTCCAGAGGAAGAACAGGAAGTGCTACAGAGTGAAACGCTGTTCGCGACCTTCAGGCATCATGAGGGTCAACGACTTCGGGTTTATCCATACCAGTCTTGGTCGATAAGCGTTTACAGTACCATTCGGAGTAAATGCTGACAGGGAAGGAGCCGGTTGACTCTTCACCAATTTCATTTGATTCTGGCCCATTCCCTGGAATTTTGAATATATTTTCGAATATTTTAGCACTTATAAATTGCAAAATATGTGGAGTTATGCATTCACCAGAAATGATTGACTAGTTTGCCAAAAATTGATTTTTGCGTCCTGTTCACCATAGGTGGCGAGATACTTGCCGTCTTCCGAGAACGCAACCGCTGACACCGGGCCTTGATGTGCTTGCAAGTTCTGAAACGAAAGAGCGCCTTCTTTCTCTCTTCTTGCCATCAAACTTTTGCAATGTTTTTTTAATCTTGTTTATGACTGGAATGTTAACAACATGATCCCCATGTTATGGCGCACACAGAAAGTAAAGAGAAAGAGAGGCAGGTGCTACAATTTATGAAACGTTTTGTTTCTTGACTGCATAAGCCTTACATGTGCCTTCGCAGCACGAAGTTCGTGGACCACACATGAACCGTTCTTGCCACCAAATGCTATTCGACGGGTCGACGGACAGTAGGCAACCATGTAGAACCTAAGAGGTGAGCACTTGACTTCATTACCAAACAGAAAATGAAGAACTCTTATTTGAGTCCCTATGACGAACCTTGTTATTGGCGGAAAGATTTCAGAGAGAGCCTTTGCTTGAGTAAGGAAGTGTCAAGGCAGTGGACGAGCACATCACCAACTGGCAGCATCATTTCCACCACTTCAGCATAGCGTTTTTCAGATAATTCTTCAATTAATCGCAGCACCTTCAAATAGTCACAATGTTATCGCAACGAATTGTCCAAACAGAAGTAAAACACTGACTTCTGAACGAGATTTCAATAACGGGCTGACCACTGTGTGTTGAATGGTTTGATGTTGAGCTGCTGAGTTATAGCGGGCTACCTAAACCCACCAATTAGTGCACAAAATAGAAATCATCCCCAATAAACAAAGCTTGAAGAGTATTCCTCAAGTACATACCTCCATACTCAACGCAGACAGTAAAGCTGTCGGACGTGCAGTGGCGATGAGGGTGAGAGCATGTCGAGCTGTACGACAAGCATCCGCAATCGGCGACAAAGGAGCGCCAACGATGGGAGGGCTGAAAATCACCAATTCTTATGAAAAAATGGCAAAATGACTATGCTGTGGCGATATTCTGTCACGAGGAGGCTGCCGGGACAGCAAAATAGGGGCGACCAAGTTGAGCGATTTTTTGGATGTGATTTACACAGCTGGGCGTTCATAGTAAGAGGAAGAACTGTAAGGAAAATTTAATTAACTGATCCCAACTTAGGTAATACCACTTTGGCTGCCGCACACCACAGCGCGCATCTTATGGCGAACACTATGGATTTGATTAGTGACAACACATCTGTACCTTCCTGAACGAGCAACTTCCCTTTTGAGGTACTACTTCCTACGCCGCGCGTGCCTTCTTTCGTATGTATGGGCACTGAAACATTACCTGGCTTATCTCATATCTCCTCACCTGCTCAACGTTCCTTAACCAGCAGCATCATATCTGCGACTTTCATTTCGATTATCGCCTGTGAAAGGGTGGTAAGAAGCGCTGGTCAAATGCACAGAGAAGAGAGAAAAGCCAATAAGCTGAGCAATATGAAACAAACGAGGACCGTATCACAGAAGGAAACGCGCTGGCATCAACCGGCGTACAGGCTGGTATAAAATGTACCTATGGCGACTGATGGTTAAGAGTGTGGCCCTCTAGGCACTAAAACTCAGCTGTAGGCCACATACACTCAGAAATGCCCAATACCTGCTAGTAGGCTACCATAGTGATGAGTATGGAGCTGTACGGACATTCAGGAAAAGATCACCATTCCTAGAAAATATCGAGAGCGCTTTTGGAAAATTTTTTAAATCTTTCAGAAATGCATGTAAAACCAACGGGAATGTCCTCCTCTGCTCCTCATGCAAATAAAAAAATAGGTCTTAATGGTCTCGATTAGCGGAAACCCAGTACAGCTGGATAATCTGAACTGGAGACTTACTCCGGTCCCGAGTGAAAATAGTAATGGAGCCATTTTTGTTCACGGTATCGTATGAACAGTCCTACTATATATAATCCGCTAAGTTTGTCTGTTGGTGTGTGTGTGTGCGTGTGTATGTGAATGTTTGTTTGTCTGTCTGTATGTGTGTTTGACCGGAAATTCATAACTTCCTTCAAAACAGCGATAAAGCGCTCAAACTGATAAGTGATGTAGGAGGTCGGGCAGGAACACTATTGGTAGGGGGCAGGCCGTGATAACAGCTGATAAGATACCATAAGGGGCCCTAGAAGGGAAGGGTCACCAACTCTATAGCGCGGGTCACAGCAACGACGGAACGTTAGTTCCAAAAAATTAGATGGGGGCACGATAGGAAAATTATTGGTGGGTGGCAGGATAGATGGGGGCACGATAGGAAAATTATTGGTGGGTGTCAGGACGTGATAATAGCTGATAAGGTACCACAGGACCTTTTTTGAAGAGGTGCCCCCGAAGTTCATAGCGCGAGTTGTAGCAACACCCGGGAATTGCTTCCAGCAAGTTATTCAGAAGTGGTTAAAGGCAGTTGGCACGATAAATCGCTATACAGGTGTAGAATTTGTACAACTGGCTTAACAGAATTCCGTGACCTCGGACAGGCGCTGCGTGAAGCCTTTTCCAAGGAGGGTACCTCTATAACGCCCTATTGAGCAACAACTTTACGTCCCAAACGCCTTCCTTGCCCGCCCGCCCACAAACGGACGACCGTTCCTGACGCTCGTATTCATTCATTTGCTGAGCAAATTATGAAGCAAAGGGATTGGTATGAAGCGGCGTGATGCTGCATGCATATATGGGTACACATATGCAGCCGTATCTTCGGTAGCGGTGATTGGCAAGATGCGTACGGGAAACTCGTCCGAAATCGATTTACAAGTCACTGAGAACGGAGGCTTTTTCTTCGCCGGATTTTGACCGTTTCACTCCGTTCTTTCGCCATTTCCCCACTATATAGCTCCCTACTAGCATTTTAGGCGAAGTAGGAAACCATCGTGCCAACTGCCTTTAAGGCACATTGGTGAGGGGAGATAAGTTGTGATATACAGGGGGGGGGGGCAAATTTCGACCGAGTCACATATCAGCAAAGTTTTCGCAGCCCAGAGGACGTGGATACGAGTACCAGGGCGGAAGATACCCAAGATGTTCCTCGATAAGCAGGAGCTGGCTCTCGCCCATCACCTTCATGTACACCAAAATATGAAGTCATCTCCAGTCGCAGCCTGACTGGAGAAGACCTTTGGAATTCATGTCACCTCCAAACAGCTGCGAAACTTCTAGTATGGAGTCACCCATGGATAGCTACCTGGAGACCAGTACTCTCGATCTGGAAGACCTCCATCATCGAGCAGCTCCGTCAACGTCGCTACGGTCTAGGACATCATCTTCACCTCAGTCGCCAAGGCGCCAGTTGATGGTGGGGACCGGACGTACCTGGAATGGAGAGACCGATATTTTCTTCGTGGGCCCCGGACAAGGTGAGCGCTGGCGGTTACATCGAGCAACTCGAGAAGAATATCCTCTCCACATGTCGTCGCCCGTACCTTCTTGGAAACTTTGTACTGCTACAGGATTGGGTGACACCACATGGAATCAAAGGGCGTTGGGAAAACTCTTGCCTACTTGGAATGGAAGGGCGTTGAGTACCTGAAGAAGGTGGAATATCTAAGCAGGTCACCTGACCTAAACCCCCTCAATTACCCGGTTCGGGCGGAGCTCAACAGGGTGGTCTACAGTGGCGGAGAAATCAACTATCTCGCTGAACTCAGGTACCCACTCACGGTCGCGTGGCAGAATCTCTCGATGGCGCTCCTCCAGAAGGCTGTGGCGGAGTATCATGATAGTATTTGATATGCTCTTTAATATGGTGGTAGAAATGTCCGATAAGAATTTAATAAAGTGTAACTTATAGCGCCTCGAAAGTCAAGGAAGAAAAAGATCTTTCTTGGCTCCCTGTAGTGCGAAAAAGGGTTAAGGACCAGTATCCGTTCGCATCCTTCTTCTCCTCGTGACCAACAAACAACGGGCAGAGGCTTAGTTAGTCAAATCATTATCCTCTAGCGGTGTGGTCGGAACTGATTCGACCGCTGAACTCTCGAGTTTCCACAAACAGTAAAAGCCTCGGAATCTGCGCAAAGAAAATTAGGATGTGAAGAAATTTCATGATGTCAATGTTATTACCATCGAAACTCTTTCAACCGCTGTGCTGTCCTATTTCCAAACGAATGGTGAGCGTTTTTTCAAGTAATGTGATAAGCACCTAGACATAGCAAACGTCCATTAAGCAGGAGAAGTATAATGAAATGGGCCGCATATCAAAGCAGGGGAATTGGACCAGTTGTTAGGGGGCCAGTACAGAAATCCTGTCAGTGATCACTACCATTACCATAGGTCCAACCATGCGCGCAGTAGTGCGCGTCAGCCAAGCTGGGATAAAAACGGATCCTATGATCGTATCTCTACTTTCAGAGAGCAATCTAAGTGAAATTACTTATGAACACTTACGGTGGTTGTTTATCAGTGTTTGCAGCTAGATCGAGCAATCCTAGCACGACTTTGCCAATTTCCAGATGTGGTTCCCAGTGAACGAATCCTCGTCCAAGAAGGTCAATCGCAGCACGACGTAAAGGTGAGTGCACCGGTAACAAAGGTGATGGTGCAGCTACTAACAGTTCAAGTAACGATAAAGCTGTAGCTCGCATCAGCTCCACTCTGAAATTGTTGCCGAGAGTGATATAGACTTGTTTGTGTAAACACTGAGCACAAACCTCAGATGTGTAAGATACTATACTACAAATATTTGAAGAATGATGCCAAAGTCAACCTATAAATCAACGGGATAGAGTAAATCACCTACCGAAACTCATCACCGAATTCCGCACCTACAACGCCAAGCAGAATTATTGCGGTTGCTTGGTTGCGACGAACTTGTTGCACACCAGATTCCCCATCCTCTCCGATTGATGGCTCTAAAAACTATATTGTTTGAGTGTAAACCGCTTGGCGCTTATCCTCCTTATTTGTGACCAGTTTGAATGGCGCACACTACTGCGCTCCGGTTGAGCACATTCAGTTGGAGTGGCATACGGTAGGATAAGTAGACATCGCCTAGCACATATCCCGAGGCCTGCCTGCGGCATGACCTCACTTAATTGCTGCGCTGACTGCTGACCTCTCACTGGCTGCTCAACGAAACGAGATAAATCGAATTGCGTATCTTTTAGTAGGATTTGATATGTGAACATCACTAATTCCCCAATCCATGAACATGAGAATGAGGAGAATGTTCGTATCGAAGAAAACAATTTTTATTATATTACTATGTATATTACATATTATTACACGAGCAGACATACTTAGCGAATTATATATACACTGGTCTGCAAAACTTAGGGACGAGATGGATAAAGTAACATAAAAACACTAATGACTGGGTGGAAGTAAATGAAAGTGTGGGAGCATGTTGCCACTCGCCTAAGGGATATGCACAGGAAGCTAGACTTTTCTCGGTGAAAGAAGAGCTTGAATAAAGTGCCAAATATGGCCGACCGCGCAAATCGAGGCAGTCTATGGGTAGGGGGGGGGGGAAACAATTTTTTTTTCTTCAACAAAGAGTGGCTGCGAAGAACTGTGGTAGTATCCTTCGATACATCATGTCCCGAAGAGAGCATCTGGATGACTTCATTCGAGGAAGGATCATAGGGAAATCCCGACAGAATGTGAACATGACGAAGTGTATGCCGCCAGGAGATTCGGTAATCGCTCCACAGCGGTTTCACGTGCATGAGACGTTCGCGAACCCTTTGGTACTGTGCTGCCCCGGAACGAGGGTGCCGAACCAATGGACAACTACCACCAAGGACACCGCTACATTTGTGGCAGCAGGCAAGAAGAGATCTCGTCAGTCGGCTTCGGCTATTGCAAACGACGTTTAACAGGACTCTAGGGCAAGCCATCTCACGCACTACAGTGGCAAGACGAACCTGCTGATGGTCGGTCTGCTCCTGCCCAATAGCTGACTTACGCGTTGTGTTTCCTTTGACCCCGCGCATCGGCGAGACCGTTTACGGTGGTGCCAGGAGCATGGCGAATGGACCGATGAGGAATGGAGCCGTGTGCTCTTTTCGGATGAGAGCAGGTTCAGCTGACGCAGCTGATTCTGGAACAGCACCTCATATGGCGCAGAGTGTGATACAGCACCTCCCCCGGAAACATTGTCGAACGTGATCGTACTGGTGGTCGAGGTGTTATGGTATGGGGAGGCATCATGTTGCATGGCCGTACTGACCTCCAGATTTTTGAGCATGGAACCCTCACCAGTCAGCGTTACTGCGACGAGGTTCTCCTACATCATGTCCGTCTTTTCAGAGCTGCAATCGGCCCTGACTTCATTTTCATGGATGACAATGCGCGACCGCATCGAACAGCACAGGTGGAGGAGCTTCTAGAACGAGAGGATATCCGGCGAATGGAGTGGCCCGCCCGTTCCCCCGACCTAAATCCCATCGAGCACGTGTGGGATGCACTGGGTAGACGCATTGCAGCACGACCAAATGCACCAATGACGATCCAGCAATTGTCAAATGCACTGATTGAGGAGTGGAATGCCCTGCCCCAGGAACTCATTACCAACCTCGTGGAGAGTATGGGATCGCGGTGCAGAGCATGTATTGCTGTCCGTGGTGATCACACACCCTATTAGGATCCGTGTAACTTCTTTTGTAGTACCAGGATAAATCGTGAAGACTTATGTGTAATCGACATGGTTGAATAAAAATGTCATAACAATTCGTCTTATTCCGAGTTTCTGTCAGTTGCTTTCTGTACAATATCGTTAAGGTTCTCTCTTGATATGATATGAATTTCATCGAGCTATGTTGTCTGGCAGAGGCACAGTGATCGAAAGTTGCTTTCGTCCCTAAGTTTTGCACACCAGTGTAGTAGGATTATTAGTATTTGTTTGTTATTTTATTTTAAAGTTCGTTTATTGAAGGTCACCTGAAAATATTTTTATATAGCTGGATGAGAGCAGCATTAACACACCGTCAGTGTTTGTCGTTACACGAGCATGCTTCTAGGTTACTACTACAACGCGTTCTGTCATTACTTTTCCATGCACTCACTCCTAACAGGTTATACTCCACCCGATTCTCAACATGTTTCTGCCTCTCTACCGCCGTCCCAGCCACTCTATAATGATAGCTTCAATATGGCTCCTCGCCGATGCATCATCTTCACGCCAGCGCCGTCTGAGCCTTCTCACCTGCATACACATTACCCCATTTCATAGCACTCCACCAGAAATGCTTATAGATTTTCAGCCTACTGGCGATGTCTACTACGGGACCATGCATGCAATCACAACACCCATTCCTCCTCGGGAAATCACAAATTCCTCCACAGCTCCTCCACCTCTGTTTCCCATTTCTTCCCAGGAAGTCTCACGCCTCAGTCTCACGTCTCAATATAAGAGATGCAAAACCGCTTCGCTGCTTTGAAGAATGTTATCGAAACGGGCCCACTGAGGATCAGGTAGAAGACTTTTGCAGAACGATGGCTAGATACGTAACTAGTAAAACCATATAATTTTTGGAATGTTAGTAGTGCATTTTATTTATTTTGCTGTAAATCTGGTGCCAGTATGAAGAAGTTTCCTTCCTCTAACACTCAACCTTGTGAATGTCGTCAGTATCTCGTTTCGTTGAGAGCCAGTGAGAGGTCAGCAGTCAGTGCAGCAATTAAGTGGAGCCTCGGAATTAGTCTAGGAATTAGTCGAATTAGCCTCGGAATATGCGCTAGGTGGTAGCTACAGTATCTTACCGTGTGCCACTCCAACTAAAGTCCGCCACCCCTGCGCAGCTGGTGTCATAAAGCAGCGGATCGATTTACTTTAGTGAATTACGTTTGATACCAATTTCTATTCATTTCAAATCGTAAAAAATTTAATATAAAGAATAAGAGAGAGAGAGAGTGGGAGCTGTCGAAAATTGCAACAGAACGAATGTTGGCCGCGCACATGTCGCATGCATCACGCGGGGGGCTCCTACTACAGAACTTACCCCCGACAGCTTACTTACTGTACCATTGTCCTCGACGACTTCTAGCAGTCCTACAATTCTTAGGCATTATGCCTCTCCTAAAATATCATTTTTGCCCAGAACACAATAGGGAGCGTAACTCACATCTTTTTTGATTGGAGATATTTCAGATTTTCCCCGTTTCACGCGCATAATAAGCCCCACCCCCCCCCCTCCTCCTTTCATTGTAATCAAACATATTTTGAACTTTGTTTGTTGGGAGCATGATAGAGCGCTTGAATAGCAATCACCCGAATATAAAGAATTATACAAGTACACATGAGAAAATGCCATTACACACATACCAGGTACAGGAGCAAGAGGAGGAGGCGAATTTTTCCGTCTGGGCGGAATTGGCGGTGCTGACGGTGGTAGAGTTGGCACGGACGATTGCAGACGTGCACCTAAAACTTTTCTTTTGAATTTAAGTAAACCATCTCGAGATCATTCCAGAACTACTGGGTAACCTTCACAGCATTCCTTTTCGACTGTAAATAGAGGATAGGTCAAGAGCAATGTGTGGAAACTGTGGATCATTGAAGAAGTAAAGTAACAAGAAAACTGCTCGAATAATATAAACAGGGGAGAATGGGCAGAATTAGAGGAAAGGGGATCAGCCTTGAATACGAAAGTAACAATGAGATCACTAGCAGAGAAGTAGGCACTAATGCTATCCTACTATATATAATCCGCTAAGTGTGTCTGTGTGTGTGTGTGTGTGTGTGTGTGCGTCTGTCTGTCTGTCACGAAATTCATAGCGAGCGTCGCAGAAAAGATAGGATGACAGTTCCAAGAAGTGATATACATGGCAGGACGGGAACACTTTTGGTGGGTGTCAGGAGGTGATAACACTTGATAAGATACGATAAGGGGCCGTAGAAGGGGAGGGTGACTGAATTCGTAGCGCAAGTTGCAGCAGGTGTGGGACCGTGATTTCAAGGAGTGATATACATGGCAGGACGGGAACTTTTGATGGGTGACAGGAGGTGATGACACTTGATAAGATTCGATAAGGGGCCTTAGAAGGGGAGGGTGACCGAAATCGTAGCGCAATTTGCAGCAGCTGCAGGACCGTGATTTCAAGAAGTGATATACATGGCAGGACGGGAACACTTTGGTGCGTGACAGGAGGTGATAACACTTGATAAGATTCGATAAGGGGCCTTAGAAGGGGGGGGTGACCAACATCTAGCGCAAGTTGCAGCAGCTGCGGGACCGTGATTTCAAGGAGTGATATACATGGCAGGACGGGAACACTTTTGTGGGTGACAGGAGGTGATAACACTTGATAAGATTCGATAAGGGGCCTTAAAAGGGGAGGGTGACCGAATTCGTGGCAAGTTGCAGCAACGGCGGGACCATGATTTCAAGTACTGATATGCCGTAGGGTGGGGCTGGCAGAAGCTGATAACAGTTGATAAGATCCGATAAGGGGCCTCGGAAGAGGAGGGTCATCAAATTCGTGGCGCAGGTTACAGCAAAGTGGAACTCAGATCCGTGTTTTGATATAGGGTGTGGGACGGGAACATTATTGGGGCGACAGAAAGTGATAACAGTTGATAAGATACGGTAAGCGGCCTCGGAAGGGGAGGGTCATCAGATTCGTAACGCAGGTTACAGCAACAGTGGGACCTCTGATCCGAGAGGCGATACAGGGTGATATGATAGTGATACGGGACGGGAGTGTTATTGGGTACGGAAGTGATAGGAGCTAAAATTGACAAGGTAGCATGGGAAAATCCGCTTCACCGCTCACAACAACAATGCGATCGATATGACTCAAGTATAACGATCTCAGTGATTCCAACAGAACTCATTCCTCACTGCTTATTAGTAACGACATCGTGTACGACCGCTAAGCCAGCTCTATTCCAAATGCATGTGGTTTGTTTACAGAGATGTTATGAACAGCAGCAACTGACTTTATCACTCTTACCACAATTATCTTCCATCAGCAACTTCAGTGAGGGCCATTTAAAGGGTTCCACTGCTGAATGCGGTAGTGCATTCCAAAGCAAGACGCTTTAGGAAGACAGATTGCATAAATTATAGGCTGCTTCAGTGGCTGTCCAAACAGGCTGCACTATTTCCGTGTAAGTTATGAACGTACCAGGAGCTAAAGCTGCTTTCCTCCTTCTGGGATGCGGGGTGGGGGCGCTGCTGCTGCTTCTGCGCCTTGACGGAACAAGCGCTGCTTTTCAGTTCTTGGCTGATGCAGAAGATTCCTTTGAACAGTGTGGTTGGTCAACGATTAACTTAGCACGCGGCAAATCCGCATGGCCCGGCGAAGCCGGGCCATGTCACAGAAGGAGGAGCGCCCGGCGACAGCCGGGCGATCCGACTGGTGGAGAAAGAAAATACCAACAAAAGGGAAATACTAACAAATTTACAGCGAAAGCTAGCAATGGGAAAAGAAGCCCAGTAGAGGCGTACGAAAATGCACAGGTGGGTGTATGGATCTAATTTAGCCAGGTTATGAAGAGAGTAATACTTAGCCACAAGCAAAGGACTACTCTGTTTAGATTTCCTTCAGATAACTTCATTTTTGTCTAGGCAGCAAACGAAAATCTTAGCATGAAGAACTTTTCAGCTAATTATTTATAACGATATAGAAAAAAAAAGCGCACAAAGTAAGGTCTCAAAAATGAACTGACAGATTAGTAGGTTTTTACTGACCGAAAATTGATAAGGCTGGATCCAACAAGGGCGGCAGGAATGGTGTCCATGACTCAACGAGGCGTCGACGTCCTGCGGAGTCTAATCGAGACAACTCTCGAATCAACAGAGCTTGAGCTGCTTCGCGAATCTCAACGCAGCTGTCTTGCCACCTAAAACTCGCTCAAATAAAATCCCATCTTAACCAACAATCAAATTCGTTTTCCATTTCGGATAGTATGATGTGGTGCTGCCATTTCATAACCCATTTCCTTCCAGCAGTTTTCACGGATTGTGAAGGAGGTGGACGTCGAGCGAGTGTCAAACGTGTCTCTCGCTAACAAAACTTACAAAAAGTGGAGAAAGTGGGTGTTAAAGGACCTGAGATGCATGAGTTTGAAAAGGGAAGCTGCTCAAATCCGTTCTACGAACTGCATATATGTTTAAATCTGCTATTACAGGGTGACCAAAAAGTTCTGGCAATTTCGTCTTTGTGCGTTTTTGAATGGCCATTATGGTCTGTTTTCTCTCCGATGGGTTATTTGTATTCCGCAAGCCATTTCGAACTACCGTACGAGTCATCTATCCAATCACTTTCGATTTCTCCTCGCACTGTCTCGAAAAAATCAAAAAGTTGCAGTTGTTGAAACCCATCTTCTGGTCGGTGCTTGTTGCTTGAAGAATGTGCTCGCCACCGACGAGAAAAATTTTCGATCACAACTACCGGAATTGTTGTCTGCTCCTCAGAAAAGGTCAACAGAAGGCAACGGCTGTGAAATCCGTCGGACGCAGACTCTTTCCAGCCTCAGTCACGGTCTGAGGCGGGATCTGTGCCACCGGAAAGACCTCTTCTTCATCGAGCGCATCGTAAAGATTAATGCTGTCTACTCCCAACAACGCGTTCTCCGCGATGTACTGAAGCCATGGGTGTCGTAGCACTTCGGCCCGGATGGACATGTGCTTCAGCAAGACTGGGAGCCAGCACATCCTGCCAAACCCACGAACTGCCGCTTGTGAAGAGCTGTTTCCCGATTTTGGGGCAAGGACGTTTGGCCTCCCAACTAGCATGGTCCGAACCCCATGGATTATTCCATCTGGGTCGAAAAATCTCAGGAATTCGATGCGCAACGGTTTACCACCTGAAAGTGGCGTTGCTGCGTGTTTAGGACCAAACTACAGCAGAAGAATGCGCGACCATTGTCGGACACTTTGGAAAACGACTACGTAAATGTGTTGAGGCTGAAGGAGGCATTTTTGAACACTTGTTGGAACTTTGTTGTATACGGTCATTGGTACTGATTAGATGAAGACTCCCAGACGTTTAGTTGGCTGATTTCCTTTTTCGAACGGTATTTTTTATGCTACCGAAGTATTCCGAAAAATTGCCAGAACTTTTTGGTCACCCTGTATTATTATTAAATCGAACCTTCTGGCCAAAAGTTCTATCCGTGGAGCAGCGTAAGTGCTTCGTGGACGTACGTGATCAGGTAAAAGAACACAGTGCAGGGCAGCAAGAAGACTCCATCCTAAATGGGATATGATTTGACCCACAATAATAGTACCTGGTACTATATATAAGAGTCACAACTGCATTTATTCACAGATGACATGCACGGGTCATACAGCCAACAGGCTCGCCCTTGCATGTGCTCCTTCCCAAAAGCAGCATTTACTTGAGAGAACTGATTATAACTAACCTTGCTTGAGTTGTTGTCTTTCACTAACCACATTTTCTGCGGTAAGTTTTCGTGATGGTTGCGTTTGCGATGCAAGTGAGCTCCTTCGCGTATTTCTAAAAGAAATAGGCTACTATCCAACATTGAAAAATCATAAAAACCCAAGAATAAAGCTGAAATAATCGTGTTGGAAGAAATGACAGAAGCTTTTCTAGTTTCTTCTAGGCGAGAAATGCTTTATACTAATGTCCGCAAGGATATAATACGCCCGAAATTCGAATGTATAGTAACAAATTGCACGTACTCGACCTGGGCGGCTGCGTTCTTCATCCCCATGAGTGTATTTGCCGTGGAGATTATGGCGAGCAAATGAGTTGTAGTTAAAGAATGACTTGTCTGAAAAACAAAAACAACAAAATAAATATTGTGTAAATATTGAACGGATGCAATTCACCTGCCAACGCATATCAGTAGAGAAACGGTCAAAGGATTGCTGCGTTCGTTGAGGAAGTACGACGGAAAGTTGACCTAAGAAGTAAGTGGTTTGTCAGTACGAGACCTCTAAATGGTAAATGGACAACCAACCTTGCCGTGAAACATTTCCAAAGTAGAGCTGGCTTTTGGGCTTATTGAGACCGAGTTTTTTGACGCAAACAGTATCGAGATCATTGTCGAGATTCCAAGCATGCAACAAGGACAGCAATAACCGAGCGATGTCCAGGTACAGGTTTGATTCGAACTGCCACGCAAGACGACTACAACCGATATGATTATGGTTGAATAATTTGCTTAGTATAGATGATGTGATGAAATGACTCTTTGGTAATTGTTACTGCTTATTGTGTTGTTTGCTATTTTCGGGAATAATTTTCTCAAAACTCTTCAGTAGAATGAATAGGAATGATTTTCTGTTTTTCTCGAGTATTTTAAATTTTTCATTTGAAATGGCACCTCGAACTACTGAACCAAATGTTACTGACTCCATAACCGGCTAGTATCGGACTTGACCGAGGTAATGTTAAAAGCCCGACGTTCTCATGGGGGGAAGGGGGTCAGGATGATTCGGGGTCGTAGGAAAATGGGACGATTGACCTCGTTAATGACTTGTCGCACCTACGATTCGAGGCATAATTAACGAGGTGCGAAGGGACCTCATTACGAGGTGCGAAGCGACCTCATTAAGCCGAATCAGGTCACCAAGGCACGCACGGGCTACCAAGATCGGAACAAATTGAGTGAAAACTCTCAACAGATTAAAAAAACGTGAGGATCTTCCAAAGGGAAGAAGGCTTACGAAAAAGTAATACGATAAGGTAGCGCTACCTGTCAAACTAATTGGAATGGTATAATGCCTAACTTTCAACTAAGCATCGATAAAAAATTATAAGCTCAATCATTCCAAATTTCATGACGAAAAGCTTCAAGAAGTCACGTGGAAACCCATACTGTTTACGAAGTGCATCCTTGGATATCGCTGAACCTCATTGCCTGCCTTCGGCGGGTTAGTTCAGGTAATGACCCTCTGGCCTCTTCTATATTATCCCGATAATGACTTCTTTATCACTTTGAAAGCCCTCTGGCCAAACACAACACCTCAACGAGAGATACTTAAGCTAACAGGTAGAAAGCAAACACGTGAGTTGTTGTTTGAGCAAGTTCCTTGTGTTGTCATGTATTCAAGTACTAATCCACCATTATTATATTCTGCCGATTCCTGCTCTTATGTGGATGCAGCCGTTCCGTTTTCAGGGTTTCCTCAGACGTCGTCTCCCACACCTTTGTATGTAACACCGCCCCAATTTTGTTCTTGTTTTTGTTTGAATAGTTGTAATAGTAATAATAACAATAATAATAAACTAATAAATAGCTGAAATATATAGCAACCTTTTTACCCACTTAAATTTTCGATGAATTCATGCCATGAATTTGGATAGCTTAATAACTTCTCCTCTTACCGAGGCCAACCGCAGTTAGCGCGACGTGCCTCGGCTTAATGAGGTCGCTTCGCACCTTGTTAATTAGGGCTCAAATCGTACACTCCTCATCATTACGGACTGTCGGGGCGTATCAGCCAGAAGGAGTGCGCACACTGTTTGAAGCCGTTCTCAGCCTTTTCGTTGAAACGCGTATGCGACAAAAAGTGGTAGAAAACGAGTAATACGAAGGATATAATGCTGTTATGTCATTTGCTCGCTTCAACAACTGGTGCAGAAAGACTTTGGAACCGCGGAAAACGCAGCCGCACTGACCCGCCCCGACAGTCCGTAATGATGAGGAGTATAGGTGCGACAAGTCATTAACGAGGGGTCAATCGTCCCATTTTCCATCTACCCGATGATTCGAGACAATAAGGACCTCGAATTAAGGCTTCGAGGATCCCGTCGCGGACTGTTAGAAGAAAACCACCACTTCAGTTAGTCGCTGTGGGCTGTGAAGTGACGATGCCCCCTCTCCCAGTTCCGCTACGAAAGAAACTGATTTCTTACCTGCTCGCGTCTGTCAACAAAATGACGCGTTTCAAAGCATACGGTAGAAGAAACTGCTAGGGAAAAAATCGTTAAACTAATATGGGAGGCTCTCCCTCTCCCCACATGAAGAATAGAGAATGGTTCAATTATCTGTTTTCTGGTCCGTTTCCATGCTGTATGCTATGCAATTATCTACTCTGGTTTTGGATTAAAAAACTTGCTGTTTTGGAAAATGCGGCGAAAAAATATGATGCACACAGATGCGTTCAATACATAATAATCAAAGACTGATAAACTCTGAGAACACAATTTCCTCCCAGTGCTGCTCTAGTAGAAGGAAAGATTTTGAAACCACATTGTTTCGAATGTAAGTACCGGGGTAACTCGGCGTTTTGCGTTTCGGTTGATTCATCCTTGATAATAACCTGAGAAACTCGTCGTTCATTATAAATTGCCTCCTCCGTGGAGTCGAGATGGACTATGCCTCCTATTAAACTGCCAATCTGAAAATTAAAAAAATTTTAAATTCAAGAGTAGTACAATATTTCGCTTACATCAATCTGCACCAGGTGGGTGCATTCATCGCAGCCAGGCAGCGGTGTGATGGACATGGGAGGCCCGAGTTGCATCGCAGCCGTTTCACGGGAAAACGTTGATGGCGAATCAGCATTTTGCGCGCTACTTGGATCTGGTGTGCTTGAGCGTCCTCTCATCTAAAACCCAAATTTTTAGGATCTCAAATAAATAGAAAGGCTGTGAACTTGCCATATCTATTCCTCTGTACCGTAAAGTTCTCATCAGTACAATAGCCTGAGAAGCCGCCACATGATCAACGCCTTCCTCTTTTCCAATCTGTTCGTCGCAAGCGGACAAAAGTTCCTCAGCTGCTACGCCTGCTACAGCACGATCCAGGCATGCTGAAATGGTTTTGTGTACACATCTGATAGCAGTTTCGGTAATCAGTTCCAGTTTAGGTGACAAATAAAGACAAGTTTTGCGCTACATTTTCGAGCTTACAATCTCGTTCGCTACGGATGATGGGGTGTGTCAGTGCGGCTGCGTCTGGCAGGCCATCAGCCCGTTCTCCACCAGTTGTTGAACAGGGTAAGTGACAACAACTAGTGAGGAACGACAAACAGGACTGACATGATACAGTCTTGTCGCTCGACGGGTGGCTTCTGCTGCGGAGAGAAAGACGTCCACTATTCCCACGCAAAGCACAACCATCCGAAAAAAAATAAAATAAAGAAGCTGTTTTGTTATGATAACTGCTGTTTAACGCCGCAGTACGCGTTCCGAATGTTATCACAAGAATGCTGAGTTGTGGGCAAAAGTCGTGCCCCAGGCGGGAGTCGAACCCGCACCTCACGCTTTCCGGGCGAGTGCGCTATCCGTTACGCCACCAGGGCCGCTTTTACCCTCTCAGCTTAACGGCTTTTATGCCGTAGCCTATCAGCACTCACACGTTTAACTTGGTGAGCCGGTCAGCCGTAATCGATGGGATATCGGCATGAAACCGCGAGGCCGAAGGCTTTAGATGTTTTTGAAGCTGTTTTGTTATGATAACTGCTGTTTAACGCCGCAGTACGCGTTCCGAATGTTATCACAAGAATGCTGAGTTGTGGGCAAAAGTCGTGCCCCAGGCGGGAGTCGAACCCGCACCTCACGCTTTCCGGGCGAGTGCGCTATCCGTTACGCCACCAGGGCCGCATATCCCATCGATTACGGCTGACCGGCTCACCAAGTTAAACGTGTGAGTGCTGATAGGCTACGGCATAAAAGCCGTCAAGCTGAGAGGGTAGCAGTGAGAAGCAAGAATGACTACGACGTAAGGAAGAGTATCTTGGTATGGTGCTGTCCCGGAGCCTCATTGTAATCTGAACATGAAACACGTGAAAGAGGCGCCAAAAAATTTATTGCAAAAAACTCAAAAGACTCAAAAGAATCCAAAAGTTCTTGCAAAAATTTTTGTTTCTAATACTTCCTTCGAATATTTCGGTGCCTAGCACCTTCCTCAGCGATCTGAAATACTATAGTTAGTCGTCTGCAACCCGAATCCCGGATCTTGTCTTCAGTGGTGCCCGAACTGGACTCTGACCTGGTCTTCTGCCTCCAATATAGCCTCCGCCGCTCCTTGCAAAAGTGCGACTTCTAGTGTTGACTGCGACCCTACCCGTCATCCTCCCTTAAATAGGACCTTATCACTGACCGCTAATGATAATGGTTGAGCGGTCAGTGATATCATATGCAGAGACGCTCACCAGTCATCCTCACTATTTAAGGGAGGATGACGGGTAGGGTCGCAGTCAACACTAGAAGTCGCACTTTTGCAAGGAGCGGCGGAGGCTATATTGGAGGCAGAAGACCAGGTCAGAGTCCAGTTCGGGCACCACTGAAGACAAGATCCGGGATTCGGGTTGCAGACGACTAACTATAGTATTTCAGATCGCTGAGGAAGGTGCTAGGCACCGAAATATTCGAAGGAAGTATTAGAAACAAAAATTTTTGCAAGAACTTTTGGATTCTTTTGAGTCTTTTGAGTTTTTTGCAATAAATTTTTTGGCGCCTCTTTCACGTGTTTCATGGTAAGGAAGAGTACAAAATTTAACACAATTGATTACAAGTAGTTAGCATGAACTCATAACGTACATGACTAAATAATACGTCTCAAACAGATTCGTGCGTATTGTCCTTTACAAACCCTAAACAAACATCTGCTTGCATGGATAAAAAGCACCTGAAATCAGAATTTACACCTTTCCACCACCTCTGCGTAGGAGCGTAATGCACGGCGCACACTCGGACCAAATCGATCGATGATAACCAAATTATGCTTTGACTCAGTTGACGGGAATATGTGTTTTGAAGGCATATTGAAGTTTGCGAAAGAGTTCCTCACAATGGCACAGAAAGAGTCGAACTTCTGAATGCCTCAGAATGTCGCCCAAAGTTCCTCACTATGGCACAGAAAGAGTCGAGCTTTTGAGTGGCTCAGAATGTCGCCCAAGGGTGACCCATCTGAAATATCTTCTGAACTAGAGGATCTTCAGGAAACTGTCGAGCTCGTTGGAAAGAGGAAATGTTGGACAGCTGACTGCGTTTTCAGTTTTGCAAAACATTGCATTTCAAAGGAGTTATTCTCGTCTTAAGCATGAGCTAGCGATTTACCACTATGCGTCCATAACCCATCCGAAATATTTCACGAATAGGGGAAGATTCAGACTGCGAGTAGGTAGGAAAACGCAGCAATAGAGACATTGCTTCAAAGTGCCTCCTTTTCTCAAAAGCCCCCACCTCTAAAATGGCTATAAGCCCCAGACAAAGCCTCGCGATCTCCACCCGACCAATATGACAACGCGACCGCAAGCGCTTGCGAGTTGTTCGTATCTAATCATTCTCGTCTCAGCAAATAATTAGAGCCGGAAGGAGGCGGGTCGTACTGACACCGATGCTGTACTCTGATTCCCTTGCCACGTACAGAACAAAGCTTTTGACGAACGGGGAAAACTGTTGGGGGAGAATCGCTTGAGAACCCTTTCAAAATCTTGTCTCAGAATGTCGGGACTCCTAAACAAGCTTCATCCACAAGATAGCCCATCGCCCCATATATATAATTCGCTTCGTCTGTTTGTTTGTTGTTTGTAAGTTTGTTTGTCTGTCCGGAAATTCGGTTCGACCTGAAGAACGACTTGGAGAGGTCGGGTCAAGGTGGGGATGGGTAGGGCATGGGACAAGAAATAAAAAGCACACTTGACCTATGGGAAGCCCCGCCCACCGTACAGTATGGGAAGCCGAAAGTTTGGGGTACCGCAGAAAAATGTTCATAATTCGCTTCCGGAGCAGCTTAAAGATGGGGGGGGAGGGCAGGGAAAGGAACAAGGAGTTGCCAGACTGACTGTCAGACATATCCAAAATGGGCGGGGCGTAGTCAAGGTGGGCGGTGATTCTCGCAAAATTCAGTAACTCAGCTCGCGACGCAAAAAACTCAGTGTAGAATGTAAATATCTGGCTAATATAGGGCACGCTCGAAGTGTTGAGACCCGCTCACAGTGGGCGGGGCACTCGCCGAAAGTTTGGGGTACCGCAGAAAAATGTTCATAATTCGCTTCCGGAGCAGCTTAAAGATGGGGGGGGGGGGGGGGGGGG